TTCTGTCCAAATTCCCTTTAAAATCTTAAATGATTCCCTTTGAGCTAAACTGACCTGTTTCCCTTACACTGACATTCTCATAATGACTGTTTTTTATCAAACATGCTTTTAAGAATCTTTGTGTCTGAATGATATGCTCGAATGACTCACTTCCTCTCAGTGGCAAATGAGGCCTGTCTTTCTGATTACAGTTTGTTTCTGATCATAAACATTTGTTGAGACTTTCAGGCCTGAAGTGCCGGCTGTCATTTTACAGCTCTCTCTCTCTCTCTCTCTCTGAACCCTTCTGAGAGCTCTCCTGTCTAGTGAGGTGTGTTAATCTTGAGATGAAAGACGTGCTGTAATTGCCTTCTTGTCCCTGAAAGATGCTGCTGTTCTTCAGCACTGAAGATCACAACAATATTGAACCTTTTGTGTCACTCCTAAGCTACAAATAATTACTTTGCAGGGAAGCATTGCCTTAATATGTAAAAAAATTGAATATTCAAATAGCATTACAAAACTTTTGTACAATGACTTTTTGAACATTATTTGTAAAATAAAATAGTTGTTATATGAAAAGGGGGTCTGAATACTTTCCGTACCCACTGTATATATATATATTTAAATCAATTTTTTTCTTTTAATCTTTCAAATTGTACGATGGCCCCCTGGGGATCTGTATAGCCCAGTTTAAAAATCACTGTCTTAGACAGGATTAGGTTTGTTAGTATTAATTTTCAATCTGTTTGGACTTTGCAGAGGATGGAACTGTACAAACTCGGAGAGGAGAAGAGTCAGAATCAGAGAGCGAGTTTGACCCTTTCACCAGCAAACAGGAGCCACCAACTGACGTCCAGCAGCTCACAACAGATGCGGTACCAATCCTCCCCAACCTAAGACTGCTCAAAGTCCACTCAGCTCTGCTAACCAAGAGCTTTGAGGGAGATCAGCAGTTTTTTAAAGAGGCAACGTACACCATGTCAACAGTCTCTACCTCTACATCTAACACTGAACATTCACTTCTGGTGCCTCGGGAGGATGCAAAATTCTTCACTGACCTTGCGACCACATTGACCATGACTGCGGCAACATCTGTGGAACAAAGAAGGCCCAGCAAAAGCCGTAGTAGAACATCAGAGAAGATGGCAGTCACCTCTCAGCCTCTCACAAACCCCACCATTCCAATAAGCACTCCCACAAGCACAGGTCAAAAGACAGCTCTCAACACAACAACAAAGAAATCTTTTGACAAGGAAAGCACTTTGCCACCACTGTCTCTGTCAACTTCACCTAAGAAAGAACCACGGAGACCGGAGGGGAAAACCACACCAGGATATTCCTCTGAGACATCTCCAGGTACAGTACAAAGAGAACATTAAAACAGATTGATATGGATGGATATAGATATGGATGGTTATAGATGCATATGGATAGAAAATTAAATAGATTAATATGGATGCTAGATATGAATATATATGGATGGATATATGAGGACATTGATAGATATAGATGGATATGAATAAATAGATAGATATGGATGGTAGATATAGATAAATATGGCAAGATATGGATGGCTAGACCTGAAGGATATAGATGGATATGGATGGATAGATATTATATAGATGGATATGGATAGATACGGATTATATAAATGGGTATGGATAGATATGATATAGATGGATATGGATAGATATGGATGGATATAGATGGGTTTGGATAGATAGATGATTATAAATGGATATGGATAGGTGGATAAGGATAGATATGGATGGATAGATATGTATAATAATTATAGACAGATATGCAGTTGTATATGAATGTGGATATATGGATATGAATAGATATGGATGGCTAGATACAGAGGACATAGATGGATCTGGACAGGTAGATAAATATGGATATAGATATGAATGGACATATGAGAACATGGAAGGATATAGATGAATATAGATAGATAGATAGATAGATAGATAGATATAGAGAGAAATGGCTAGGTATGGATGCTAGATCTGGAGGATATAGATGCATATGGATATAAATATATAGATATGGATAGATACAGATGGATATAGATGGATAGATAAATATGATATAAATGGGTATGGATAGAAACAGATGGATATAGATAGATAGATAGATAGATAGATAGATAGATAGATAGATAGATAGATAGATATGGATATATTGATATGGAAATTGATGTTATGTATAGATATGAATGGACAGATAATTAATTATAGATACGTATGTAGATATATATGAATATGGATAGATGGATATGAATAGATATGGATGGATAAACATAACTAGATACAGAGGATATAGATGGATTTAGACAGGTAGATAAATATGGATATAGATGGATATGGACAGCTACAGATGGATATGGCTAGATATGGATGAAAGATATAGATGGATATGGATGTTGATCTCTATGACAATGCACAGACCTCAGAGCTAATGGAGGATTATTGCACAGCCAACCAAACATAAGACAGCTGTAAAAGGGGTGACTTCAGAATGGTGCCCTTTTCTCTCTCTCTGTCTTTCTTTTTCCAGCTCACTGCGATATGAACTTCACAGACGCCGAGGGTTATATTGAGCTCCCCCCGGATGTCTCATTTGATTCCCACATTCATTGCACCTGCCTGGTTACTGTATATCTGGGTTATGGTGTTGAGATTCAGGTCAGTACTTTTTCATCTAACGCTTTTATCATATGCAGATTAGGAGAAGCATCTCTCTGGCACATCTTTGTCTCTCAAGGGCAACAGAGTGTAATTTCCATCTCCTCTGCATTTAACATTGAAATTTCATAAGTGTATATAGAAATTTAAAAAGTCTCAGCCTGTCCCTACATGCTCAGTATGACAAGATATTCTCTTCTGAGCTTTCTGCATAACTAAATGGAGATGAGATAAATATAAATTTTCCTAAATAGCAAGTATGGACTGACAAGCCTGACAACTGCATACAGGCCACTGCAATTGTAAAATTGCTATAGATAGAGGAACAATGCTTGAATGTGTGCCAATAATGTAAGAAACACAATACAATTGAGAATTTTAAAAAATGAAGAAACAGCATAGTTAAATTATTCAGTTAAGGAAAAAGATCAATGATATTAGTGACTGCTTCAAATCGCAGAATGATATCTTTGATAAACTAGTTTGATTATGAACAACAGAGTTCTTAGAAGAACTCATTAGTTGCAAAGAGTATTTACAAAATGTCTTACTTTATTACTCAAGCCAAGAGAGAACAAACCGTTCATTTTGAGCAAATGAAGTATACAGACACTGTTTATTCTGCGTTTCATGCAATCAAGTGGAACTTGTTATTGTTCCTGTCAGCCGTCAACTCGATATGGTTCGATCGAATGCACTGCAATTTCTCAGACCTCTAATTTTGGATTGATCAGAAGACAGAGAAGTGCCTTTAAAAACTGATTGTGAGGAGACAGAACATCACACAGAAAAGTTTTAGCGACATGCAGACAGATGCTGCCAATTCTCTCTCAGGCATTTATAAAGGCCTCCAGTCTGAAGTTGTGAAAGTTTCCGTATGGAGTTCCAGGAGGACCGTCATGTTCACGTATCAGTGTGTTTGACTGCAGCACAGCTGCCGTGTCAAAAGAAACAAAATTCCCTCTAAAAAGCCCTACAGTAGATATGTTGGAGGTGAGCGGCTCTGTTCTTTGCTGAATCATACATGTGACACTCACTTGATTTTCTGAACATTTTAGATGTGATGGCTTCATCAGGATTTTGGTTTTCTGAGTAATTGCTTGCAATATTCACCAACAGCTGACATTTTTCATTTATGTCTGAAGTCAACATTTTTTCATTTGTAATGCATATTGATCTTATTGAGTTGAGGCCAATTATGAAAATGCTGAAGAGTTTTTATGTTTTAGGATATTATAGTGAGTATAAAAGTTTAATGTACTGAATTGATCGCAAGTGTATCCTACAAACTTAGAACGTTGTGATCGTCTGTTTGCTTTTTTTTTTCATCTTGCAAAAACAAGACTTGTTCAAAATAACTGCTCTTTCCTGGCATCTGTAATTCTCCAAGTGGCCAATTTAAAGCCAGTGATTTTGAAATGTGCTTGCTCTGGAAGGGGATGCTAAAGGCACACTGGATGCATTTGTTTGTAAATGGATGTTTTTCTTTGCAGATTCCTCAGAGTTCTAGAGTTGTGTTTTCGATAGTGACTATTTAGAGGTTAAAAAGGTCTATAACTGCAGGTTTTCTGGTGTTATATAGGTGGGTGGTGTAGCAAAGTGGTTAAAGATCTGGACCGCTAACAGTTGTGTGTTCCAACCTCAGAAGAAGTGAACTGCAAAACCATTATGCCCATATCTGGCAAAAAAAGAGATGCAATTCCATTGTCAAATGATTAAATAATTCAGAAAGAAATAAATGTAAAAAGGTTATGGAAAAAAATTACTTTTCACAGACTTTTTGGATATGTCATTATTAATTCAATCCAGTAATTGGCCTTAACCATATATAACAATACTAAAAACATTCTTCATTTCTTTTTCTAAAGTACTGCTCACAGAATTCAGAACTTCACAGTGTATTTTCATGTCCATATTAAGAGCCTCTGTTTTATGTGTTTTCTGATACCGCTATGAATTATGTGATAATATTTCTAGCTCAGCTTGTGCTTGTGCTGATTGGCCATCAACCATTATCTTTTATGTGACCAAGGTTGTGGTGATTCACGCCCATTTGCTGTCATTTGTGGAACAGATGCTGAAGTACATGAGTCAACTTCGCTCAAAATTATACCTCCTTAATATATATTCTTTCATAGAAGGTCTATTAGTTGTGAGAAGCTCTTGATCTAATCAATGCTTGTGTGCTGATGAACGGGTGGACAGTGTTTAGTAGTGAAACTGGAGTTTCAGTTGAGCTATAATTAGAGGTACCTTGTATTCACAGTGCCATCTCTCCAGGGTCCAGTGCTCTGTCGGCTAGACCCTTATTAACTTTCCACAAACTGGTCTGTTGGAGTCCTCAAAGGTCCTGTGAAAGGCCAAAAATCATTAAGATTCTCAACACCGTTTCATTTTAATTGCTTGTTGACCTGTTGACCATGACAGCGCTCATATTATTCCATACGCACTGCCCTGCTAACCCTTCCCAGCTCAGGTGTCAGGGAGCGTCAACCGAACATCTGATGACACACTTTTAAACCTAGTTTATGGAAATGAAGGCCTTTGTGCTTGTTCAGTTGGCTTTTGAGTTTAAAAAGCTCAAATTATAGCAGAGCAAATGAGCTAATATACACAGAAAGGAGTCGCTTGAACCTGAGGAGAATTTCAGGGTCTTGCCACCACATCTGAGTTTTTCAGTCAAGGTCTCAGTTGGAGAGATTGCTGTCAGCTGATATTAATTTCACCTTGGCTCCGGTATGTGTCATAACAAGCAGGGAGATGTAAAGCAAAAGAGTGTCAGGGATGGTTATTCCTCTCAGCGTGAGACTGACAAATCACAAGGGAAAGAGAAAAGCAAAGCAAAGGCATTGGAAATATGAAGCTAAACTTATCATGCATGTATTCAAATCTATGCAATTTATTTCTACAGTTCATCAGCTCCTTCACCCTCTTACAAATTATTATTTTATGTGGCTTCATTTACAAGTAAAGAAGGAAGGTCTGTGTAAACTCTGCTCTGGGTCTAGCATTAGCCTATTTGTTTGGAAATATCACTTGGTTTTTAAAATGATGGAATAAAGTCGTATGTCTCTTTAAATTGACTTTTATGCAGTTTTACCGTAACGGCTAAAAGACACAGTTTGTTACAAAATTACCTGCAATTCGTCCTCATTAGAGTTAGGAAGCGAGTTCCGCCTTTGAAAAAAATATCAGGACCAAATTAATTTCTTGAATTTCGGTTTCATTAGGTTCTCAAGCGTGCATTCTTTTGCGAATGCAAACTACTAACTTACCACAGCAACGCCGCTACTAAACTTACAGCCCAAAACATACCGCGAGAGCAGTGTGGTTTGATTTCAGAACGATTGACTCTTTTGAGCCGGTTTCTTTTATTGAATCACAGTGTTGCCAGATTGGAAATGTCCAAGTATCGTACCAGAAGCTCAAAATGATCGTATTTGGAAGAAAATTATAAGAATACAGAATACAGCTATTGATTCTAAACCAACAACTTTTTGACACGACCTGCAAATTACCACAATAGATAACTGGGCGTACCGTGTTTACATTGGACACGAGCAGTGCGACAAAGTACTATAGAAACCATTATAATCAGTGACTGTTTGCACTGGATGCGACACGACACGTCACATCCCCGACAGTAAACTGATGCCTCGTTCTATTTATGACGTATTAAAATTATTTTTAACACTCGCTTTGTCGCGTCCAGTGTAGACAGACTTTAGCTGTTAACTCTACATCTGAGCCGCTGTCATCGGAAGCCTGCGTGTTGCCAGATGTTGAGGGGGTTCTTGCCGTCATGGACCGCAACATAATGCTCGTTGGCTTTAAAGCAGGGCACCCTCATGCATTCTTAACACACTCTGAGGTGTACATGAGCTCATTTAAAGTGTCTGTAATGAGCCAATTTCGTATGAATATAGAAGCCCTATGACTACAACTACCATCATTTGAACTGTCATAAAATTATCGTACATTATGGGATTTTTTTCATTATTGATCTTACATCGTAAAGAGGTCAAAATTATCGTACAAATACAATAATTATCGTACGTCTGACAACACTGTTGAATCAATACATCGCGCTAAAACAATACTGGATGCCAGTGTAGTCCGGTTCCCGAGCGAATGATTATGTTAAGCCAATTCTTTTTAGTGGACCAAAAAACATACAGCGCGACCAGTTTAGTAGGATAAATATTAATGACTCTTATATGTCGATTCCCTTTAGTGAATTAAAATCATACAGCGCGAACAGTGCGGTTCCTGAATTGTATTCGAATGAATAAATTAATGAATGAATGAAACATTTTTATTTAATATTTTTAATTAATCTGTACTTAAAAGGTCTGTGAAAATTATTGGAAGTTATTTTAATAAACTTTTGGAATACGTAAATTTAATTCTGATATTTTATTTCTGTTCTGTTGATAGCATTTCCAAGAAACTGCTATTTTTCCCCCCCAGATATCTAATTCTCCAATGCTTGGTACAAATTCTCAAAGTGAATTAATATCTGTAATGCAACAAGAAAATTGTGTTGCACCTGTGCTGCTCTCACAGCGGTAAAAACATATCAGTGTGTATCAGTATCAGCTCTGATACAACTGGGTAGCTCAAAACTTGACACAACGCTGGTCAGTATGCTTATCTCAGAGGCACATGCAACAAAACCGATCAGAGGAACCTCCACACACACTTTCATATTCTGGACCCACTGAAGTGCACCCAAAACACACTTTCAGTTGAACTGATTCTAATAGATATTTACACAGATGCAATCATGTAAGTCTGGAATATCACAGCCTACGTTTTGATCTGATTCTGCCCTTGTGCTCTAGGTGCTGAACGCAAGTTTGGATGACGGGATGGAGGTGGTTCTGGAGGATCTAGGTGGATCTGTGGCCTCAATACTTGCCAACAACTCAGTGTTATCCAGGGGTCTGGTGCTGCGGAGCTCAAGCAACCAGATCTCAGTGCAGTTCAGCAGTGAATGGCCCGCTCAGCCTGGCTTATTACTTCTGCGGTATAGAGGTAACATCTCACTGTTTTGTGCTATGTTTTTAATGATTTGCCTATATGTTAAAAGGAAAAAATCTATTTGCTAAATGATTCTTACAGAGTCTGGCCTACAGAAAACAAATATTAGTACTGATTGGTTTGTAGAATAATGTCATGGAAATAAGCCGCAGGAATAAAACAATTTCTCATGCTAGAGTCCTTGAGGGGTTAGATACTGATGGTACTCCTCAGTGTAAACATGTTGAGGTTGTTTTTCAGAGGAGACAGACAGCATCTGTCTGTTTGGATATGTGTGTGTGTATGTGTCTACATGGGCAAAGAAATGTCCTAATACACACTAGACATTTCTTTTCAGGCAGACAGCTCATTCAGAGAGACAGAATTGTTACATGGGCAGCACTCAGAGACATCATTGTCAGCAAGACATACAGACATAAAAGAAAAAACAGGTCTTACATACTTTTGAACGGTATATGTAGCTAATCAGAATCCCTAATGTCTGTGTGTGTGTGTGTGTGTGTGTGTGTGTGTAGCTACATATAACGTTCTAAAGTTTTTTCTTCTTCTTGTGCTTACCAAGGCTGCATTTATTTGACCAAAAATACAGTAAAAACAGAATTCATGTGAAATATCGTTATAATTTAAAATAACTGTTTTCTATTTTAATATATTTTAAAATGGAATTTATTCCTGTGATGGAAAAGCAGAATTTTTTATTAATTACTCCAGTTTTCAGTGTCACATGATCCTTCAGAAATCATTCTATTATGCTGATTTGGTGCTCAAGAACATTATAACACATTATTTGGTGCTCATGGTGTTATAAATGTCTTTCCTGCCACTTTTGATCAATGTAATGTGTCCTTGTTGAAAAAAGTATTCATTTCTTTAAAAAAAAAAAAAAAAAAAAAACTATATATAGACTATATATAAGATCAAATCATTTTCAAAATTTTGATGCTTACATAAACTCATCCTTCGAAATCCCAGCATCCTCTGGGTTTGGCAGCCACCAGAAATGAAGTTGCTGGCCTGTTGAGTTTAAATGCAATTGAAGCACACGTGAACGGCACTCCTGCTGCTAAACAGAGATCAATAGTGCTTGTCCCAGAGAGAGATTAAATGAGAGAGAGCTATAATGCATCGCTGTGCTCCATTGATATTTATGCACTGGGGTTAAATGCTCCGTTCAAACGGTCAAGGGCTCAATAAATGCTATTAAGGCAGAGAAGATGCAGCTCAGAGGCCATGAAGAGCTCTGATACACTCGCAAAAGCAGTCAAATTAATGAACCATTCGGTATATGATGACCTCACCATGATATGATGCTCTTCGGCTAGTAGTTTACTCATAACATCTAGATGAATGAAACCATTAATGGTCACACCAGAATGCAGATATTCAAAGCAAAAACCAGCAAATAGGAAAAAAATAAAATATTTACTGATCAAACCAGTTTTGCTTGCTGTTTAAATAGTCCTGGAATATTTCAAACAAATTATTGTTATTCTTTTCAGTACAGACACCCCTCTTTTATGCTAATTATTATAGTTATTACTGATGTTCAGATATTATTTCATGCCATTAAAAATGGCAAAAATGTAAAGAAATGCTTATATTACTCCACTGGTCATGGAGCAAAACAACCCCGTGACGTCACACGCTGTGATACTGCAAGATGGCAGCACCCTTGCTCCAAAACCCACTTTAAGACTCAATTTGCTTCCACTTAGAATATTTTTTTCAAGCAAAAATAATATGTTTTTGATTATATACTTCTGCATTTAGTGAGTGGCTCTTTTTCCACAGATAGACAGATTGGATTAGAGTTACATAAAACCCTGGCATCTGTCGGCCGTAACCCCCAAGCAGCGAATCTGCCCTGCTGTGCTTAAACTTAGTCATTATTAGTAAAAACTAAACAACTGGGCATTATGGAACATTAATCGCCATGGAAACAGAGACAGCAGGGCCAGTTATTCACAGCTGGTGAGATTGGCTGTTGCTTCCGCACATTTAACCTGCACCTGATCGGTTTAGTGACAGATAAAGGAAGTCTGGGTCAGATTTAAGCATCTGCTTTCGGTCTGTTTGCTCTGGTCTGTGTTCCTGTGGCTCAACTGCACTAGCAGCACTAACATCAAAGGTTCAGTTTCCAAGGAGTGCAAATAGTGATAAAATGTGCCTCAAATGCACTGTAAGGTGCTTCAGATAAAAATGCCATTAAATGTAATTGCTGAATTAGAGGTCAAATGTCACAGAACTTCTGCTCATGTTGAGACAGCCATGTTTTCAGTGTATGAATATTTCTAACAAACAAATTCTGCCACCTTCAACTACACTTCAACAACAACAACAAAAATCTTATTTAGTATTTTTGTCTTATTTAAATATCTAACGATACTTAAATCAAGACGCACTTACTTGAGAAGGGAAATGACATAAGGTATTAAGTCTTGTTTTCTGAAAAATTAAAAACAAGAAAAATAAAAAATAAACTTAATTCAACTGGCAAACAAGATTATTATTCTTACCCTACTGACAAATACATTTTTTATTGTTTTAAGCATAAACTTCATTTTGGTAGATTTTTCCAAAAACAAGGCATGACATCTAATAGCTCTAATAGTCATTTTATTTCATAGGGAAATGTATCTTGATTTTAAACACTATTTGTAATGGAAAACAAGCTAAAAAATTGTATTAAGCATATACATTTTTGCAGTATAGAAGTTTAATTGCTGCATTAAAGCTCACTGTAAGTGTCTAATTTCTATGCCACAAGCATCACCCAACAGAATAAAAAAAATTATAGTTATTTTCAAATAAATTTTATATACAGTCAAATACCATATTCTATTTCTCTCTCTTTCTCTCTTCAGCATTTGCTCTGAGTTGTGCATCCCTGCAGGCCCCTGAAAATGGTGAAGTATCAGTCACTGGTCTTCAGGTGGAGGGCGTGGCCTATTTCTCCTGTCTGATTGGCTATCAGATCCAGGGCCCCTCCTCTCTCACATGCCGAAATGCCACCACACCATATTGGAGTGGCAGAGAGCCCAGGTGTCAAGGTATGAGAGGACAAGCTAATACTACGCCTGCATGTACTGCCTCAAATTGCTACACATCAAAAATTATGACTTGTACTTTGGTTTAATTTAGCCTAAATGTTATTCTTTTTCATTAGTCTTATTAGTTTTTGGCAGTCTGTTGGAAATCTGTGCCATGCATAATGAAAATGAAGGAAACTGAATACAGCAAATTCACAGCAGTTTTTCTCTTTTTGTCTTTCATGCCTAGTTGCTTGTGGGGGGATGATGAGAAATGCCACTCAGGGTCGTATCGTCTCTCCGGGGTTTCCAGGAAATTACAGCAACAATCTGACATGTCACTGGGTACTGGAGGCCCCTGAGGGCCATCAGCTCCATGTTCACTTTGAGAAAGTGGCACTGGCTGAGGATGATGACAGGCATGTGCTTTGTGTTTTTTTACTTTAAGTATTTTTTTACTTAAAGGGATAGTTCACCCAAAAATGACAATTCTGTCATCATTTACTCACCCTCATGTCGTTCCAAACCTGTATGAGTTGCTTTCTTATGTTGAACATAAAAGAAGATATTTTGAAGATTGCTGGTAATCAAACAGTTGATGGTTTCCATTGACTTTCATAGTATTTATTTTCCTACTATGGAAGTCAATGGGAACCACCAACTGTTTGACCACCAAACCACCAAATATCATCTTTTATGTTCAACATAAGAAAGCAACTCATACAGGTTTGGAACGACATGAGGGTGAGTAAATGATGACAGAATTGTCATTTTTGGGTGAACTATCCCTTTAATATTCTCCAAAAATTCTCCAAATTCTATAAAAGTGAAACCTTTTTTTAGTGGACTAACAGTTGAAACCAGATGCATTAAATTGATCAAAAGTGAAAATTTCTGTTTCAAATAAATGCTGTTGAACTTTCTATTTGAGCAAGAATCCTAAAAAATGTGTCATGGTTTCTGCAAAAATATTAAGCAGCACAACTGTGTTGAACATTGACGATAGTAGGAAATGTTTCTTGAGCAGCAAATCTATGAAGGTAGAATGACGTCAAAAAGATCTGCATACGCAGAAATAATTTTTTCTTGCTCTTGAAACGCGATTTACACCTTTACAAAGCTTCACTTGCGCATGCAAATTTAATTTACGCTTACAGTCTTATGTACACTTCCACAAATATTACCCTGCGTATGCAGATCTTTTTGACGTCATTTTACCTTCATAAAATCAGCATATTAGAATGATTTCTGAAGGATCATGTGACACTGAAGACCGGAGTAATGGCTGCTGATAATTCAGCTTTGCCATCATTTTATAATATTACTGTTTTTACTGTATTTTTAATGAAATAAATGCAGCCTTGGTGAGCATAAGAGACTTTTTTCAAATCCCAACTTTTGAACAGTATGTACAAAGTAAATATATAGATTCAAAGGAAAAATTTCCAATATTATCAGGCCTATTTTCAACTTAAAAAAAAAATTGTTCATACATTCTCCGAAAAAAAGGTACAAAAGCTCTTATTGCAGTGGTCTCTTTACAAAAGGTACTCTTTTGTACCCTATATACCCCTTAAAGTTACATATTAATACCTTACACTTACATATTAGTAACTAAATGGTACATATTAGTACCTATTGTAAAGATACTGCCCCAGTGACAGCTTTGTACCTTTATAAAAAAAAATTGTCAAAAATGAAATGATCTGTTCAAACATTTACTCCTTAGTGATGCTGACTTCCTTTTGTTTGTTTTCAGGCTCCTCATAAAGGATGGGAGTAACATTGACTCTCTGCCCCTGTATGACTCATATGCAGTCGAGTATCTGCCCACTGAGGGGGTCACCAGCACCGGCAGGCATCTGTTTGTGGAATTCACCAGTGATGAGACAGGCACATGCACTGGTGCTGCCATTCGATATGAAGGTACAAGGACTCTTCTGTATTTCCGGAACATGAATTCATGTCTTCCAGTAATTTAGCAAAAAAGCTTGTTCACTTCTGCCTCTCATTAGTTCTGGTCTCTATAAGGCTTGAACAAATCTGTTACAGCAACTGAAGAAGAGCAGAGAGGGCCAGATACAATAGACGTTACCTAGAGACAAAAGATTACTGGGTATATTTATAGAGTTACAGGTTCACCGTCACCAAGGAGTACTGACAAACAGCATCCTACTGAAATAACACTATAAATACTAGATTGTTAAAGAATGCAAGAACTTATATAATGAGTAGCTTGATTTTATTTTATGTCACTTTGGATTAAAGCATCTGCCAAGTGTATACATCTAAATGTAAAAATATAGTTTTTACTGTGAACACTGTTATATTGTTGTGTTTTTTTATATATTGTATAAATGTTAAAGGGATTCCCAAAAATGACAATTCTGTCATGATTTTTTCACCCTTAAGTTGTTCCAAACCTGTATGAATTTATTTCTTCTGCTGAACACAAAAGAAGATATTTTGAAGAATGTACATAACCTAACAGTATCTGATCCCTATTGACTTCTATAGAATTTTTTTCCAATGCTATGGTAGTCAAAGGCTACCAGCAACAGTCTGGTTATCAACATCAAAATATCTTCTTTTGTGTTCAGCAGAAGAAATAAACTCATACAAGTTTGGAGCAACTTGAGGGTGAGTAAATGATGACAGAATTTTCATTTTTGGGAAAACTATCCCTTTAACTGTGAGGGTTTTTTTTTTTTTACAGTTTTTTTTTCCTGCATGTTTTACAGCATTTGCTGAGGGTAGCTGTTATGAGCCCTTTGTGAAGTATGGAAATTTCTCCACAAGTGATCCTGCGTTTGGAGTTGGTTCTGTGGTGGAGTTCACCTGTGAGCCTGGTTATACACTGGAGCAGGGCGCTGTTATTTTAGAGTGCATAAATGATGAAAATCCACAATGGAATGAGACGGAACCAGCCTGCCGAGGTGATTTTGTGTGTGTGATGTCTGAATTATAGTAATGGTAATGGTATGGTAATGTTTTCTCTGATTTCATTTTTGTTTTTACATGCCATTTGAAGTCAATATGAAAACCAAATTTACTCTTTTTGTTCTTAAAGGGACAGTTCACCCAAAAATTAAAAATGTTTCACTCTCCTTCATGTCGTTCCAAACCTTTAAGACTTTTTGACATTTTGAAGAATGTCCCAGCATTTTTTTTTTATTTATTTTATATATTTTTTTGTCCCTATGATGAAAGTCAGTGGGCTAAAATATTGTTTGGATCTTCTTTTATGTTGCGAAGACGAAAATAAGTAATACAGGTTTGGAATGACATGAGGGCGTGTAAATGATGACAGAATTTTCATTTATCAAATATTAATTGTAAATATTCGTATTTACAAATTGAACACACATGAACGTCACCACAAAGTCGTAATTTCATTTGAAAAATCTGAGTTGGGGTGTGTCAGTGAGAAAACAAGTCAGATGCAACGTCTGCATTAATGGTAAATTTGTTAAAAATATGTTTTTATTTTTCATTTGCAATAAAGTTGCATGTACAAAATCTCATAGTACTGTACAATTACAATATATCAAGATTCAAATTTATAGCATCTACACAAACTGAATAAAAACATAAAAAGCAAAATCACACCCGATTCACAGTCTTTCTTCATCATTTTATAGATGTAGAGTTAAAAGTTCATGTTAAATTTTATGTAGAAATGGTATATTGTCATCTTGCTCCCTCCAAAGTGATTTAAAAGAACCTGATGTCGTAATTAGGACTTTCTAAATCGTTAATACTAACTTCCCAGGAGGACTTGAATGCACCATTTGTTTGTTTTACAGCGGTGTGCAGTGGAGAAATAACAGATTCAGCAGGTGTGGTGCTTTCTCCAAACTGGCCTGAAGAATATGACAAAGGCCAGGATTGTATCTGGGGTCTACATGTGGAGGAGGACAAGAGATTTATGCTGGATGTCCAGGTGTGAGTATCTGAACCTATATGTATGTGTGTGGACAGAAAGGATAGATGGTTATATTTTAGGACTGTCTTTGTGTAGCTAAGTGTGTGTGTGTGTGTGTGTCGCTTTTTTCCTCTAATGAGAATGCTTTCATTTCTCTAGCATTCAGTACAGTTCAGTACAGTGTGTAATGACAGCTGATTAATTGATTTGGAGGAGAACCCACGGACTTATTAACACTCAGCGCTAATGAGCCCTCAAACAGGTGCCAGGCTGAACACCTGGATAGGGATCACACCTGCATCAAGACAATGGAGCTTCTTCAATATCTTTGTGACCCACTATGGGATGTGCACTCTATTGTATTGAGGTTTGATTGTGGCATCTTTCATAAGTAGCAAAGATCTGAGGGAAACATCAAGGTAAATAATTTTTGATAGCTTTTTAAACAGAAAACCACAATTATTGATGGGTTTTGGGGCATTATGGGTGAGTTTGGAGTTGTGTGGGTTGGTAATAGAAGGGTGGTATGAATTGGTTTGGGATGGTATAGGTAGGTTTAGTGTGAGATGGATGGGTTTTGGTGGTATGAGTGGGGATTAGGGTGGTATGAATTAGTTTGGATGGTATAGATGTGATTTATGGAGTTATTGGTAGGTTTTGTGGTGGTATTAATTGATTTGGGGTGGTATAGGTAGGTTTGGATTGATATGGGTGGGATCTGTAGTGTTATTGGTGGGTTTTGTGATGTATGAGTGGAGATTAGGGTGGTACAAATTGATTTTGGGTGTTATAGGTAGGTTTGGAATTATATGGATGGGTTTTATGGAGTTATTGGTGGGTTTGTGGTGGTATAATTGGGAATTAGAGTGGTATGAATTGGTTTTGGGTAGTATATGTTGGGTTGGAGTGATATAAGTGGGTTTTGTAGTGTTATTGGTAGGGTTTGTGGTGTATGAGTGGGGATTAGAGTCCTATAAATTAGTTTGTGGACTTATTGGTGAATTTTGCCGCAGTATAAGTAGTTTTGTGATGGTATGGTTGGGTTTTAGGATGTATTGGAAGTAAGAAAGTTTATGTGTGATGGGTAGGTTTGGCATAATCTAAAGAGATTGTTTTGTCAGACAAAACATTTTTGCAAAGAGAGAATGTGGCATTTTAAAACCAACCTACTCTATTTTACTTATTATTAAAGCTGCAGTACGTAACTTTTTTTGGTTAAAAATTATCCGAAATCAATATTTGAGCACTGTGCAGAAATTGAATACACACTATACTCATAGTCACCAATGCTGATGTTGTTAACATTAATCATTTGAGAATAAAGTATAACAATAATAAAAATTTGAACGGTTTGATTTGATGTGAGCTAACCGATCTTTAGATTTAATCACCATTGGTAGTGAGATTTATGGTAATGCTTTTTTCCTCAGTTGGTCAGAACAAACGTGGCAGACTTGTTACTTACT